AAAACTTATAGAAGACTGAGACACAATTAGTTAGAACTAGGTAACTTTAGACAAAAAAAGCTACAAGTTAATTTTGCACTGCTGCTTCAGGTAGGTCACGGTACAAGTTGAGGAAAGATTGGCTCCTGCAATTACTTGTATAGTACAAACTAAATTGAAATCTCTTGCTATGTTCTACTGTTTTCATGTTGCAAATAAATACAGGAAGAGAGCATTCTGCATTAATATGAAAGGAGTAAGACAAATATGGCAGCACATGCTTCTCCCTTTAATTTGTTATTCTTACTATTTTTACTACTTTCAAAACAATGTACACTGACATGCTAACTTCACCTCTTTTTCACAGGAGACTAGGGTTGTCTGGAACACCACACATTTCCACTGCACACTCCAAGATAAAAATGACTGCAACAGGGAAAGGAAAGTACAAAGGCACACAGGAGAAAACTCTAAGTTTGGCAGTTATTTAAATCAAAGATAGATAGATAGATAGATATTCCTCATATACAAGAGGGTTCTTCTGTCTGTAAGTACAAATCCACCCTGGCACCTAAGCCCCACACAACAGCTTATTTGCCACTAAACTTGTGCCACTCCAATCACACCTGTGCAGCTCGGCTGGGAAGCGGCCCATGCTGTGCACACACACACACAGCTCTGTGCCTGGACTCTAAATGTGTAGTGTGGCCATGCACAGGCAACTTAGGTGAGACAGCCATGCATCATTTACAGCCCTCATCTTCCATCGTCTAGCTGCCTGGTTGAACCAAGCATGACACCAGGAACTAAATAATTCTTGCATGCAGCTGTTGACATGCTTCCTGCTCTTCTAAAGCAGAGAGGGCAGAAGTTCTGGGGGGTCAGATGACGTGTCCTAGCACGCCTGGTGACACACGCTATTTCCAAGAAGATAAATTTCTGTCACACATCCCTGCTTTAGCTCTTCAATACTCAATTTGAGGCAGACATCAACATCCCGTTTTAATTATATGCCTGGGAACACGAAGGACCGATAATCCTTTTTACTCCAACCAAATCATCCATGTCATGAACTGTGCGGTACTCACCACTTACACAGCAGCTTCACACATTGAAAAACATTAAACTAAGCTGAGCTGTTAGAAGCATCAGACAGCAGGAGCTTGCCACCAGACCTCAAATATAAGCCTCACAACAAGTTCCACCACTCAGTAACACCTTATACATAAACCCACTCTCTCTGCCACATTAAGGGTGTAGCCTTTTAGGTTTTGGAAGCAGTAAATAAGGAAAGTTCCTACAAAGTCCTCTTCACTGTTAACTGCACATTCTTCACCTGTCCTCCTGCGTTTGACATTCAAGCAGTAAACAGTGCCACATCAGAATCACTCTGCAAGTAACTGTACAGGTTCCAGAACCATCATGCCAACTTTATGCAGAGAAAATTCTTTAAAGCCATGAAGATGTCCCTTTCTTCCCCCTCCCAGTTGCATAAGCTTATTTTTCAACATTTGGCAACAGAACAAACATATCTGAATCACAAAGGACCAATTTTTTTGTTGTTTTCCTTTTGAGCTTCCTTAATTAGGACTCCAGTATTTAGAAAGTAAAAGGAAAGAAATGAACAGTGGTATAGAACTAGCCACATCTCCAGCTTTTAAAAAGATGCTGTTTAAGGTCCAAATAGTATATCTAAAAATGACTTATTTGGAGTAAGCACACCATCAAGTTCAATATATAGGTCAGTACTTCTGTAATAATTTCACCCCACCCTGAAAACAGGAGTTCTGCTCACCTCAGGGCACACACATATAAGAAAACCAATCTTAACACTTATTCACAAACCCCTTCCAGAAATTTACTGGAGCAGAGCATGAGAGCTTTCCTGGCTAAGATAGGTTTCATTGTTAGAATGAATCAGATTATACTAATGATAAAACAAGAGGAAATGGTCTCAAGTTGCACCAGGGGAGGTTTCAATTGGGTATTAGGAAAACTTTCTTCCCTGAGGGAGTGGTCAGGCACTGGAAGATGCTGCCCAGGGAGGTGGTGGAGTCATCATCCCTGGAGGTGTTCAAAAGATGAGTAGATGCAGCACTTGAGGCTGTGGTCTAGTGGTTAGGGAAATGCTGGGAGGAAGGTTGGACTCAAAGATCCTAGAAGTCCTTTCCAACCACAGTCACTCTATGATTCTATACTGGAGCGATGCTCATTTTTAACTAAATTGACCTGAAGTCTCTGCAAACATTAGTTGAAATCTCTAGCATACAGGTATTTATTGCAGGAGTGATGCATTAGGATCTCTCTCATTCTGGAACACGACAAAAAGCCCGTATTCTGTGTGAAGAAGGACTGCAGGGCAAGCATTCTTTGCAAAGTCTCCTTTCAAGACTAAATTGCTATTTAAAAGTTAAAATAACATCACTTCTAGCTCTTTCATATAAAGAACACAATTTTCCATAGTTAAAAACTGAACCAAGCCATTTCAATGAAATATTTTACCAGGGATTCCCTTCTGCGTTAGAATTTATAATTGAAGCTTTCATTACACTTTTATGTATCAGAAGCCTCAGTTTACAGCAGTACACATCAGGAGCTTGAAGGACTTGCATAAAAACCTACCACTGAGCCTAAGTTAACACAAATGTCAGTTTCAAAACAAACGCCTTTAAATAACATCTACATTTAAAATACTGTCTTAATTAGTAAAAAAAAAAAAAATTCTAACATTCACAGTAATTCACAAAAACACAAGTATTATATACAACACCATGATTAAAGACAAATATATAAACACCATGTGACCTAGCCTACAACAAGCTCAGAGTCAGAGCACCACAACATCTCTCTTCCCAATTTGCTTGCCTTTAGACACACAATGCTTCGCACGGTCTTTCCTTGGTTAGGAAGAATATTTCAATTTCTCTGAACCTGAGTAGCTTCCAAACACCCGAGGCAGAGGTTCTCATATAAACGCTGGGTTTTTTCCTGCATGAGAACACTAGCTCGACTGAAGTGCATTGCTGAAGATTAAACTTCTCATTTATTTGTAAATCTAAATCAGGGATGATGCTCCTACAGTTCAAGTACTTGGACACCAACCACATCAGCCAGAGGAAATCCAAGTTACTTCTGCAGCATTACTAGTGTCTCTGTTTTTGTTCCTCAGAATCACTGTTACTGCCCAGTACTTCCCACACAGCTGCCTTGCATACAGTCACACTTGTCTCTGTTTCAGTCTAAGGGTAGAAAACCCAAACATTAAGAAAGTGACACTTAAGTGACAAACTGCTATTTCAGAATCCATGAACCTAGAACACCAATTCTCAGGTTTTGGGGATGGGGGATGGGATGTTGGGGAAAACAAAGCATCATTTTTTTTCCTCAAAGCTTGTTTTAACAACCAAAAGAATAGCCTAGCAAGTTTCTTCAGTTCTGACAGTCTGAAAAGATACTTGAAACTATGTATTTTCTTTCTACTCTTACACAAGAAAAAAGGGAGGTTATCATGAGTGCATGGGGATATGTTCTCATGCTGGCTATCCTCCCAATGCTGTTAGTCATTTGGGTGAACCAAAGAGAAAGAGAGAAGCACAGCATGGCACAGAACAAGCTTATGCTGCCAGTGATTCAGAGGGGCTTTCTGGCCATTTAGCTCTACTTCTGAAGTTGATTGTTTTCCACTGTTTTTCTCACTCATTATAGTTGCCTTTCATTTATCTGATGACAAAGCCTCTGAAGATGAAAGGGCACTACTCTCCCAGAGAGAGCCACAAAGCAGCAAGAACTCAAAAAACTGACAGACCTCACCATCTCACAAAACAAGCCTTGGGGATTTTTACCTTGAGGCTAACAGACCTGAGCAGGAAGGCCAGAACAGTGGCAAAAACGATTTTAAAACTTGCCCCCAAAAAAACCCTAAAGGACATTTTAAATGATACATGTGTTGGGAGGTGCAATAGTTACTGCTCCAAGAACGTTTGACATCATAATGAAACCTCTTTAAAAGGCTCACAAGCCACGTGCTACCACAGGCAATAGGCTGGATAGTACATTATTGCAATCTAAAAAGACAGAACAGATCTAGCGTGCCATAAATAACTAAGTAGTACTACATAAAGCCATGTTGCTTTAACATAGTAAAGAGCATGAATAGACAGCCCTATCAAATATAAACTTAATGGACAGTTTAGGCCCAACTAGGAAACCAAAGAGAGTGTGCTGACAGCAAGCAAAACAGCTTGAATGTTAAAAATACAGAAGCACAATGGTTCAAGATAAATAAATTACTTTAGAGAAGATTTATCAAAAAATGTGGCAGGGATTAAAAGATAGAACAGGTAATTGAAAAAGCAACCTTTCAACAACACAAAGTGGAACTGAAGAGGTGAAACAAATTAATGCAGAACCTAATTTCCCATAATAAATTCTGCTCTAAACAAATTATAAAATTAATTTTTCAAAGTCTTTAGCTAGTAATTTTATTTTTTTTACTGACTTTTAATGATTAAGAACACCAAAATTCAAATATTTAAAAAAATAAAGGGATTCAGCAACATTTCCAAGAAAGAAAAAAATTCCTTCATTCTAGCGATTTCATCTTTAGGATCTGTGTAAGGAAATAATTTAAAAAATTCAACCCTATTTTTGTTTTCATTAGCACTGAAACAAAAGCTTTTTAAACTGAAATTTTTACAGTTATAGTTGTCATCCTTCTTGTTCTAATGATCTGACTCCACCCACTCAGCTGGGGCAAGATGAGAGAAGGGAATAAGTCCAGCACAGCACTTTGCTTACACAACCACAGTTGAAAGAATTCCCAGCATAAATGCAGAAAAATTCACCTCCCTGTTGCCTGTTACCAAGAGCTTTTAAACTGAGTTTTTGTGCAACACTAACAGCAGCAACAGCAGGTTATGACAATAAACCCAGAAGAGGGACTATATTGTTGCAGGAAGAAGACAGAAGCAGGAGAGATCCTGTGAACACCCCACTCAGGCAGGAATGGGTGCCCTTCTCACCTTCGATGCTTGTCGAAGCCACCGCAAATATTCAGTGAAGTTATCGAAACAAATGTAGTAAGTCTGGCTTTGAGGTCCAGAGGAGCTAAATGCTAAACAGTGCTGGTGCTTTTTCACTTCTTCCACCTACAAAAGAGACAAAATGGTTAGTAAACAAGAAAGAAAAGCCTCTTTGTAGAACTCCCCTGGACAAAGTTAAAGCGTGCCCAAGAGGAACTCGTCAAGTAAAACTGGACTAACCCTCTCAAACGCTCAAGCTGGATCTTGGCTGTCAAATACTCATGAAATCTACACAAGCAAGGAATGAAAACAGAACAAAGAAACCGAAGGAGAAAAACACCAAGGACATTGGTATTTTAAGAGACACTGAGCACCATAAAAGGTTTCCCTGTGAAACACTTTTAGGGCTGTCTTCATACCACTTAAAGTAGTACAATTTATACTCCTGGTTATTAAAAACAGGCTTAATAAAATGCTTCTCTTATAACCCAACTAAGTCCTTTGGCATTTCTCAACTTGCTAAAAAACACCCATAACACATCATTCTACTACTATATACAAGAAGTCCCACACAACTTACGGCCTCAATGTCTTAGCACTGCATTCTAGAAAGCCTTTGCAAAGCAGGAAGTGCAGAGTATTTATGGGGCTGAGGAAGAATATTTTTGAGTTATGATTTAAAAAACACTTAGCTCTGTGCCAAGCATCTTTCTCCCAAGTTTTGGCAGCAGAAACCCTCAGTTCTCCTTTTCTTTTAAAATTTGTTAACTTTCTGCTTAACAGCCTGCATGTCTTATATTACACAAAGCATCTTTGTGCAAAAGCAACTTAGAAATTCCATGTTACGTAATTAAAAGGTAGATAATATTTTATCTTTTTTAATTTAAAAAAAAAGTTTTTCCTCTCAAAGAGAAGGAAATGGGGTCCTGAATCCTGTCCTCTCCAGTGTGCTACATCCAAGAAAACAATTCACTGTTAAGAGTTTACCCACTGCTGCTAAAAGAGGACTAATGTTTTATTTCAGTACCTCCAGAGAACAGCTGAGGAATCATGTGAACAATCATGATAAAAGATGGCACTACTCGCCACATTGCTAGTGTAGAATATTAATAAATCAACCCTAGTCTGTGTATATAACACTGTGAAGCTTGTGTCTCTTCCAGTGACTCTAAGAATCAGACTTAGCAGTGTTCATGGTAACGGAGAATTACTGCAGATATAAATTTATCTTCAAGCATCTGGAAGAGATGACACTTCCAATTACCTTGGCTAATCAAGCCAATAATAGTGTTCTGAAACACTAATTACATGAAAATATTAATGTTGTAATTTGCCTTCATTAAGGTTTCACAGAATCACAGTATAGTTGAGGTGGAAAGGGCTGGTCCATTCCCTCTACTCAAGCAGGGCCATCTACAGCCAGTTGGTCAGGACCATGCCCACATAGCTCTCAAGCATCTCCAAGGAGGGAGACTCCACAACATCTGTGGCAAAGCTCTGCCAGTGCTCGGTCACACTCACAGGAAAAAAAATTAAAAAAATTTGTTGTGCTCAGATTGGACCTCCTGGGATTCAGATATAATCAGAAAAAAGTCCAGTTTTCATGTTCTGCAAGCAAAATCCTTTGTTGCAACAGACCCCTACTCATACAATGACAAGCATAAAAAAAAAAAAATTCCCCCATGTTCAAAATAAACCCATGCCCTTAATGGTTAATTTTCAGATCTTAAGAGTAACCCATGGATCAAACCTGCATGAGGAGGCATGGTTCAGATCACACACAATACAGCTGCATGTATCCTGTGGCTGTGTACTACTGCACATAGAAAACATTTAGCACTGCACACAAGAAACTAAATGTTTCCTTTGTTTTTCTTTAGCATTTTAATCCAAATGTTGTAAATGGCTCTGACCAGAATCATTTATGTACTTTGATAATCCCATTTACAAAAACCAGCTGGGGGGGAGAAGGGGGAGGATGGTGGGGTGGTGCAGAACCATCATCATCGAAAGCATCCTTCTGTGCATAAAGATTGAGAGATTAAGGAAGCAAATACATAAAATCAAATATCTCACTTTTCCACCAATTAAAGGGAGGACATGCATCTTTCCAGTCTGGCTTTCTTTTACTGATGAGACAATTAGGCACGTTCCACAAAGGATAGCTTGGCGTTTTGTCCATCTGTTAACTGGCAAATGTATTTTCCCTTTTCGCACGTTGTACATTCCTGAGAGCTGAATCCGTTCGGAGCTGCCAGTGCTGTTGGGCTTTCCTGAAATAGAAACAAAAGCATCCACTTAATCACAGAAAATCTTTGCCTCTTGCATTCAAGTCACCCTGAGACTTTATCAGCAAGTTTTCAAGCTACAGATTGCAGTGCAACAAATGAAACAGCGTCAAAACCATGCAAGCAGGTAACATAGTATCAGCCTCTATACAGGCTTCTTTCATAGGTAGAAGTACGTGACTGGTTGGTATCATGGAGAGCAGACCACATGAAATAATCTGCAGTAGTTCACAGAAGTACCAATCAATGGTACCAGTCTTCTCTATGGGACCTGGAAATCAAATGTTTATCCTCAGAAGTAACTGATTACTGTTGAGTTCACGCTGACTGTTTGGTGACTGCAAGAGGGGGTGACGTACAGCATGCTGACCCATGCCTGTCCGCATCACATCTCTTTCGGCCATCCTCAAGGCCATGGTCTGAACAGCTTCAATAGCTTTCCAAAGGATGCAGTTCCTACTCTCTCCAGATCCTTCTGTTCAGCCCAAACCCCACAGCAGAGACAGTACTCTTGGCCACCATGTAAATAGATGCAGTCTAGGTGAAAACCCTCAAAGACCCTGCTTCAGTCCGAGCAGAGCTCTGGAAAGAGTGAAGTTCTTTTGTCTGTATTACAATGAATTTGCTATTTATAATAACTCAGTTTATTAGCAAGACTATTAATTAGACCATATCTGTTACATGACTTAAAAGGCTCAAACTCTAATCTCATCTATGACTAAGATTCTACTCTATAGAAATCATTATTAACAATGGTAACACAAAGACAAGCATGTCTCATCTCTGCTCTTACAGGACATCGTTCTTTTGGGATATAAATGGGAAGAAACACAATTTATTCATTCTAATCTGAAGTATGTATCCACATCAAGTTACTCTATCAAGCCCTAAACAGTCCAGTCCAGATCTGAGTCATAAAGCAAACAGAGACAAGAGGTAATCATGCTCAAGTTAAACCAGATCACACTTCCGTAAGACCAATAGTGTTGGTCAAAATTTGGAAGGGATCTCCCCCAGACAGAAGAATCAAAGGTTACATTATTTGCAAGTAGCAAATTTGCATATTATAAATTACTCATTTTCTTGCATTTGTATTTACCCAAATTCTTAAAAAAACAAGGAACTAATACCTACTTAGGACTCCAGAAAAGCACACAGCTGATCCTGTCTTTTAACCCCTGTATTTCAGACCAGTGCCAATCGAACTGCAGCAGTGACAAGTGCTGCACACTATTACTCCTGCTTGTATGACAGCTCATTTGTCTCAACGAGTCTGTTCTTGCCTTCAAATTTTCTATGGGAAAATAGAAGAAACTTACCACATGCCCTACCCACAGCCATTCTCTCACCCCTGCCTACCCTGCACCAATTCTTTAAAAGCAGCTTTCTTGAATCTTCCTGACAGGTTAACAAGCCAAGACGGCATAGTTACCCTCAAGCACTGCTCTGCTCTAATAAACACTAGCATTTAGGCTACTGATGTCTGCCAGCGTGGATCTGCAGGAAGATCGCTGTCGCTTGAAACTAAAAGACTGAAACTTTAATGTCCACAGGGTACCAACCTCTAATGCAAAAATAGGTGCCCCAAGAAAGCAGTAATTTCTCTGCCAAGCAAACTCAAAACCAACAACAGAAGCTGTGGATAAACCCTTTTCCAACAGAACAGAGTGAAACAGGACATTCTATGCAAAGCTACAGAAAGACTGATAGGGAATACAAGCAATTAAAACAGAGCAACTCAGACTTAATTAAACAAAAGCTGATTCAGACTTTACATCTGGAATGTGAAGAATGTGGTTGTTGATAGTACAGTAGATAGTGAGGTTGCTGAAGTAACTGATAATTTACCTAGCTTGTGCAGAATGATGGACTCCATGCCACAAAGAACTGGTTAAAAGAATTAAACACACACAAACAAAATCTCTAAAGGAGTAAGAAGTGCCTGGTAAGTTTTAGTAGTATGGGTGAATAAGGAACAGTTGTCAGGGGTGCGGGCAGTTTCAGCTCAAAAAATGACATTTTACAGTCACCTTCTGGGGCTTGTTTCTGGCTGTATGCTAAGTTCACTGGAAAAGCACAACCCAACTGCTGATTGAACCCCTTAGGATTGCAAAGCAGTCTCAGTACCTTGGGAAGTCAAGCTCATTTAGCATTTCAATATAGTCAAATGCAACTTTACCCATCCAAGAACAAAGAGCACCATTCCCACTTAATATAGGCAGACCTGTGTCCTGGAAAACACCAAACTTCGAAGTTCTTTGGGATTCTGGTGGATAACACAGAGGATGAGGCCCTGCTACAGGGCTGCGGCAAAGAGGCTTGGCAGGAAATGTGACAGCATTCCAGAGGCAGCAGAGAAGTAACATTACCCTGCCTGGTGCAGTGGGGAAAACCACCACACTGGGTGCTCACACTTCACCAAGGGTGCTGAAAAATTAATCTTCAGAAAAGCTGTAGGGAGGAAAACCAGAAGCCTGAGAAACCTGCTTTCTAGGACCAGACTCTCTTGGACTCGCCACATGAAGCTAGGCACAAGCTGGACCTGTAAAACTACTCGGAAGTCTCTAAATGGCAGTTCTTCAAATTTCATATAAATTCACATGGGTAAGTCACAAGTCACAGTAACCATGAGTATCATCAGTAAATGTTTACTAGAAAAGCCAGAACAGAGCTATCGCTAGACATTTTCACGCTAGTTAAGAACTGTACCTTCTCTCAAACTTCAGATTTGATAGGTAAATTAGCATGGTAAGAATCCTCACCCATTCCTTCATCTATAGAAGAACCAAACAACAGCCCCTTCAAATTCCAAGGATTTTTTTCCCAGCAAGTACCACCCCTTGCTACATAAAAGCTAGAAGGTTCCTGATTAGAACACAGAAATAAAATACTGGGCCTAGTTCATTAAAACAAATGGTTTCTCTGCTTCCCTACATAATCAACCATCTGGTTGGACCAGATGATTCTTTGAGGTGCCTTCCAACCTGGGCTCTTCCACAATTCTATAACTTGAAAAATCCATGTTTAATATTAGATCATACATTGTTGCCTGAGACGCAATCTGCTCACATATTCAGTTTTCTTCCTGTTAAGTGGTTGTAATCACTGAGATTTGATAGTATCACAGTGTTCTATTATCAAGCAAGCGTGGGGTGGAGGAGGAGTGGGGGTGTCAAGACCCCTGGCTGATTTTAAGTAGAGGTTATTCAAGGACATACCAACTAGTTATGGAACCAGATTCTTATAAATCCACAGTTTTGCAGGTAACTGTGAGCAAAATCTGTTTGACAAGAAGCAGCCTTGCATCCTGAAAGAGAAGCCTTAACAGGCTGCAGCTTTAAAGAGCTCAGTTGCTGCCAGGAGACCATAAGCAGGAAAAGTTCAATGACAGCAAGCTCTGCCACAGCAGAAGTAGAATGGGACCTGGAAACAGTGTGAAGTGATCCTAACACTGGCTGTTCCTCACTTCAGAGAGGAAAGCAGCAGGTGGCAGGGTCTCACACTGCCCCATGGCACAGCTCCTCCAAGAGGTCTCATTCCTGACATACTGGGGAGTGGAGGACAAGGAAAATGCTCAGAAGTGTACCTGCCTTTTCTATGGTCTGGAAAATAATCAAATGAGAAGTCAAACTACCTTTTTCCCACAAGAAAGTGGCTATTTGGACTTCACCATAATGCCTTTGGGCTAAGGATCAAAGATCACAAATTATGGCACAACCATACCATCATCACCCAAAAATCAGTTGTTTGAGGTAACCTACCAATGCCAGTGGAAGCATAATTTTCAGTAAAAGCATCAGTAGTTCCGAAGTTACATTCCTCAGCCTGTCTCTGATCTCCAATTCACGATTTAGAAGACTACATGAGACTCACATTCAGTTTTTTCTTCAATTTTAACTACACCTAAAGGGAGCAGTTGTGTATTCACAGGGGCCTGTGATACTATAGTGAAGCCAACAGTTGTGCAGATAAAATGGTAATGAAGATCCTTTGTGACTTGAAACACAAATTCGAACCCTGCCAAAAACTTATAGGATAATTATTGTTGCCTTGATCAGAGTGGAGGCAAATATGCCAGAACAACTACAAGAGTTGCATACCAGAAAATGTTTTTCAAATACCATGCCCAACCAGAGCAGTTTGGGCATTTTAGCAAGAAATCTTAAAAAAGACACTTTCATTCCTGTCAGGACTCCAAGACTACAGCAACACCTCAGCAGCCCCACAACAGGATTTCTGTTCTGTATAAGGCATTAAAGGAGATGCTGCAAGGAATTATGAGCAGGCCACTCATTTGGCTATCTTGACATTCACGGTTGGATTCCTCTTAGCTTTAGCTTGTCCCAAGTCCTGGAGGGCAATTAATGCTATTTAGAACAAGGACAGAGAGAAGCAGGGACTTTGAAATGGCAGGACTGTCACTGGAACCACAAACCATATACGGCTTTGCAGGAAGCACAGATGGACACCAGCAATCTTTTCATGATGTCAAAGAGCTAAGGTCTCACCATGAGCAGCCCAAGGAAGCTTCAGGTATGAAACACATCGACATCCTGCCTATTGCAAAGGGGTGCAAGGCTTATTAAATACATACAGCCATTTGCTTTGGGTTCTGGAGCAAAGCTCTTTATCCTGGTGACGGAAGGCATACAGAATACATTAGCATCAGTAGTTATAAAATACTCACTCATTACAGGACATAAAAGTACTCAGGGGGAAAAAAAACCAACACAACTGTTTGCAGCTATATGGCTGATTTAAGTTGCAAGTACTTATTATTTTCCATACTGTTTGAAAAGTACAGCAAATAAAGTCTGCCTCTAAATAACAATTTAAGACATTAGAAAAATAAGAGCAGGAAAAAGTGTTGACATAAGAAATGTATTCAGTTCTGTGCAGTGGGTCTTATTTTTATTACTAATATTAGTCTGACAATAAAAACTAAAAGTTCTGAGACCTGCATGGCACAGCCAGACCAGCCAGCTGGAAAGACTGCCTGCCCTGAGCCGCCGCAGGTATTCACCAGCAGTA